GCTCCAAGTTTCCAGCCTGACAACAGACTCACAGGCTGTTAAAGGGAGGATGTCGGCACTTGAAAGGCTCTTTGCCTCAGGTGGGGATGGTGGGGAATTTAAGGACTCATTTGAAGATGGCTGGTTAACACTGACATTTGAGACGTGTTCTTTGACAGAGGGGCAAAAAAGAGCCATGAAAGTAGGTAGGGAAGAGGCTAAGGGAAGCTCTGGGGAAGGTGCTATGAGGTTTCATAAAGCCCAAGTGTTTCTGAGGTGATGAACACTGGTAGCTGAAAAGGCAGTGGCACTGTGACTTTAAGGAGAGGGAAGGTAGAGGTGGCTCACACGTGAAGCTCTAAAAAGCTAGCTATATTATGACACTAAGAATGGGTGGGCAAAGACACCACACCTCCAAACAGAAAACCCACAGTGGCTTTGGCAACTTGTCGGTGTGTCCAAACACGTACTAAACTACGTGCGGAGCATTGTGGCAAAGGAGGCAGAGAAAAGTAAGACATGGCCCTGGCCCTCGGTCCATCACAGTCTAGTAGAGGGGACTGGACCCAAATCCCAGGGAACAGGGGAGACTTCAGAAGGGAGGTGGCATTAGAGCTGGGGACTGCCTGGCAGAAAGAATTCCACCAGGCTGAGAAAGTCTTAAGGGAAATGAGAGGCAGAAAGGCCCGCATAAGTAAAAGCACTCAGGTGAGACCCCTGAACGACATTACAGCATAGCTGGATGAGGGCAGCAGTGAGAAAAAAGTGAGGTGAGGGTCGGATGAGAACAACTCTAAAACGAGGTTATAAAGTTAGAATGGGAAGGATTCTTTTTTTAACAAGTGAGCACTGAGTGCTTTTGAAGTTAACAATAACAGATATTATATATGAAGTGCCTACTCCGTAGAACCTACACTTGTGCTAACCCTGACCAAACCTTAGAAGGCAGGTGTCATCACTGCCATGTCCAGATGAGCAGGCAGCAGCTCTGAGCGGTCAGTGGCTTGCCTGGGACACAGCTCTTTAGTGGCAGGGCCGGTATTCAAGTCCCGATGCCAGAGTTCATGCTCTTTCCTGATGGCCTTTCTCAACTCGGGTTTCTCCTTTGGACCACATACAGGAAATTATGTGAGTAATGATTTTCTCAATTCTCCCAAGAATGGTACATAACTTGTACCATTTTAGATGCCTGAGAGAGAAGTTAATTCCTTGTGTAAACAGATGCCTTAGAGCATTAGGGCTCAATTCTCTGGAGGAATCCTGACTGAGAAAGGCTGCCATGATTAGAGATGTATTTTAGGAGGAAGGATCTGGCAGTGGAATCACGTCCTCGGGAGGAAACAGCTGCAAAAGCATCTTACCAGCCCTGGAACTACTGGGGTGAGTCAGCTCCGGGGGCATGAGGGAGGAGGCCGCCCACCTTCCCTGACTACTCCTCTTCCTGTAGTCCTGTCTCTCCCTCTCTCCCTCCCACCTTTTCTTGTACTTGGTAGTGAAGTGCCGAAGCAGAGCGTTCCTGCTCATAAGCCAGTAACACAGGCAGAAGTAGTGTCTTCAGAGATGAAAACCACAGGGGTCTGTGTGCCCACTTTTCTATGGATGTCAGGGTAGAAAACCAGCCCTAGTGGATTCCGAACCCTTCACAGGAATCCCCCTGGCAAACTCCCATTACCTTCCTCTAAGGCTTAAGCACTCCTTCCCCTGGGAAGCTTTCTGTAACCGACTCCACCTCCCTGCTCTGGTATCCCCTCCTCTATGTGCCCAGAGCCCCTTGTCCAGCCCCTGCCAGAGCACCCATCCAGCTGTCGCTGCCTGTCTCTGTATCTGTCTCCTCCAGCGGTCAGAGAGTCTCTCAGGGTCAGGGAAGGTTTGCTTGGGCCGTCTTAGGATGCCCTAAGGTCCACGGTCTCAGAGACGGCAACTGGCTTGCCCAGAGTCACATTACAGAGCTGAGATTTAAACCCAGGTCTGTCTGACTCCCAAGCTGTGTTCCTTTCACTGTGGTACAGGGCCTCCTGAAGATGAAGAAGTGACCTTTCTGTGCTAAGCACCTAGTCTAACACTGTAAGAGTTCAGGGGCGGTGCTCTCACAGTGGACCAGACCACCAAGAGAGGCTTCCTGAGAGCGGGGGGCCTTGCAGAGTCCGAGGATCTGGATGAGAAGAGAGGGAACACGACGGTGTTTTAGGCAGGGTGGGGAAGCTGAGGGCAGAAACAGAATTAAGAAGGCTTCAAGCAGGAGTATAGGTTTCACATGGGGAAGAATGGGATTATAGCTGCAGGGTGAGAGTTTGATTTCTTTACACAATATGGAGCACCTACCACATGCCAGGGGCTTTTACAGACGTTGTCACTAATCCTCGCTCTACCCCTGTGATACTTCCTAGATGTTATTTTACAGACCAAAAAAGTGAGGCTTAAAGACTTAAGGTACTCTGTCCAAGGCAATACAGCTAGTAGGTGGGGGAGCTGGAATTCAAACCCAGGTTGGCCTTACTCTGAAGCCTGAGGTGTCTTTTCTATTACTCCACACTGCCTCCTAAGGGGCCAGACAACTTCCCACATTATCAGACTGATGCTGCTGCCTGGACCTGCTCCCAGCTCTCACATGGGGACTGATGGTCAGAGGGCAGGAGCAGCTGCCCCCTCTAGCTCTAACCCTCTAAGATCTGGGGACCCTAAGTCCCTATGTTCTAAGCAATTTCAAGGACAAGAGTTCTGTGTGGACCTTGTGAGCACAGGCTGGCCAGTGTGTCTAGGCCTGCCCTGGAACTCACAGAGAGCACTCCTCTCTAAGTTGCTGCAGCAAACCCGGTGGCAAATAGAGGCTAAGAAAGCTGGATGGTCAGGAAGGCAGGCCCTCCTGCCTTTCCTGAAACCCTCTGGAGAAGGTCAGCTGAGGTCAGAAGACTCTGGAAATGTTACTGGCAACAGGCCCTAGGACAAGGGAGCAAGATCCTGCCTCTCGGTTGGCTGGTCACACACACAGGCAGACCAAGAGAGGTCAAGGGGGGAGGGAGGTCAGAAGTTGGCAGGCCTGCAGGCCTGGAGTGAGGGCTACTTGTTCAGACTGGGAAGGGAGAAATAAGTGGGTTAATGGTTTTGGCCCTTGAGGCTGGGAGGCTAGAGCAGGGGGTGTAAATGGATGCTGGGTAAAAAGGCAGGTGGGCGAACTGTAAAGGTGGGGGCTAAGGGCATCTGTTCCAAGTCAACAGGCAGAAACCATGCCCCTGGAACGGCTCAAAGGGCCAGCCTTGGCCTGGGGGGGTGAGGGTGTGGGGTGCTTCATAAAAGGCTCATGCCCCTTCATTTCAATGGTGTTCGATCTGGAAGGCTGGGGAGAGGGTCTCTTTTTAGAGTGAATTCTCTGTTTGTTTGGGGGCTCAGGGGAAGCACTGGACAATGGCTGGGGGTATTGATTGATTCTAAGGCATGGCAAAGAGAAGCCCCATGGTGAACACTCCAATTCTTAGCTACAAATGTCTTGCTGGAGAGCTTTCCAAAGGACAAAGTGAGTAGCATCCTGCTTGGGGAAGTTTTCCAAGTGGATTTTTGCTCTGAAAGCATCAGGGATCCCAGGTACTGTCACCAAATGCCCCTCAGAGTGTGCATGCCCCAGACCATGGCACACTCTGGCTGCTCTGGGGCAGGTCCCTTTTAGGCTGGAGGTATGGGCCAGGCCTGGATCTTAGCCAGTGTGGCTGTGGCTGATGGAAGGTGGCAGGATTTGGAGGTTACTGGGAAATCCCACCAACCCAATCACAAGACAAGGACTAGAAGATGATCTGGGCATGTTGGGCAGGGAGGCCAAGGCTCTGGGACTGAAACAACCTTCTTTGAACTGGATTTTTGATTGGGCTGCAGAGGACAGCTGGCAGAAGTTAGAGAGAAGAAAGTCACTGTTCATTTAAAAGAAGATATTTCAACCAGTCAGAGAGGAACTAAAATGGAATGGACTCCCGAAGAAGTAAGGTTCCCTTAGTCCCTGAGAGAGTCAGGAAATGCCAGCCAGCCAGCTGCTGGAGACCAGCTTTTTGCTGGGAGGAGAGGGGGCAGGCGATCACGGTGACCCAGAGGACCTCTGAAAACCCTTGCAGCTCCCAGCTTCTACGGAGAATGACCCTTTACAAGGAGGATCAGCCCCAAGAGGGTCCCTAGCCTCTCAGGAAGTGGTAATGAGGGCATAAACAGGCAGTCATGTGCCACACTCAGGGGCCTGGGAACCACACATCCTGGCAAAACACTTTCCTCCTATCCCCCCTCCCAAGGAGAAGAGGGTATGGGAGGGAAAGTGACTTGGGACATATCTGGCAGCGTGGCAGGTAACTGTACACTAGACCTAGACAGGACCAGACCAGCTTGAGTGTGGGGATGGCAACTATCCCTCCAATTAAATGGACGCTCTCCAAAGGGGGAGTACTCATTGAACAAAGACTGACTAAGTGCCTACTGTGTGCTGGATACTAGGCTAGGTGCTAGGGAGGAGTCAGCCATGGTTCTTACCTTCAGGGAGCTGAGTCAAGTTAGGGGGAAGGCTACTAAACATAAAAACAATTTCAGATTGTGACAAATGCCATGATGGAAAAGAATAGGGTGCCATGACCCAGAGTAATGGAAGGGGCCTAATTTAGCCTCGGATGGAGGTGGGATCAAGGAGGATGTCTTTGAGACTTGGGTTAGTAGAGCACTGAAAGGCCTCCCCCTTGTTCCACTAGCCCTGCTCTGGAGGTCACAGGGGCAGAGGGTGGACATTTCTGGGGAGAGCAACAATAAAGAAAACTCCCAGAGCGTGTGCAGAGAGGCAGGATGGCATGGTGCATCACAACACAAAGAACATATTCTAGCCACATGAGGGCAAATCACATGTGCACAATGCCACTCTCGTGAAGCACAGCCACCCTAGAAGCATTCCCAGCTCTGGGAGGTAACAGGGCTCTGGGGAAGCATGGCATATCCGGAGTGGAAAGGTGGCCAAGTACTCTCTCCTACCAGCACCCCACCCCATGCACCCACACACTTGCCTCCATCAAGCAGCTCCTTGACAGTGCGGTAGTCATCGGCAAGGACAGCGTAGTGCAGGGCTGTGCAGCCCTTGAAGCTGGCGCGGTTGTTCAGCCGGTTGTTGAAGTCATCTTCTCTGGTGATCAGGACTGGGGGAACAGCAACACAAACCCTCCCATTAGCAACAAATGCTGTGAGCCACCAATCTCACCTTCTTTCTCACTAAGGGCATTTTAATTCCCTCCCTCCCTCATCTATCTACTTACTAAACATATAATGGCACCTACTATGTGCCTGGCCATCTGTGCTGGGCAAGAGGAGGTAAAACAGAGGCCACTTAGTTCCAGAGATGTATAGTGACATCTACTACGTGTCAGGATTCATTTGGGGACATAGAAATGAATCAGATACGGTCCCTGACCTAATCTGGCGAAGGAGACAGACAATAAACAGATGTTTACAGTATTATTTGAGATAAATGCTATGTGAGAAGTATAACAGGATGACAGAGAAAGCCAGAGGGGAGCCAAGCTCAGTGTAGACATGAAGAGAGGATCCCAGCAGCCGAGTTTCCAAGGGTGAAGAAGAGTCATCCAGGTGAAGAAGGCGGGTTAAGACACGGTGGGGAGTTGGGGGGGGGGGGGTGGCCAGAGGCTGTTCTCAGCATAACGGAAACAGCTCTCTGCTCTACAATCCAGTGAATAGTTAACATTATTTTCTAAACAAGTTTTTAACTTATAAAAGCTACTAAAATTTTGAAACTACAGAAAAGTACAAAGAAGAAAAGGTATCAATATCTCAGCAACTTGAGAAACTATACACAATGTTTTAGTCTATGTCCTTCTAGTCATATATATGCATGTACATATATATGCTACAAAATTGGAATTTACTATAGTGCAACTTTGTACTTCTTTTTTTTTTTTTTACCCTTAATAAATATACTGTGAACATTTTTTTGAAGGTAAGAACAGGAAGCATTTCATGTGGTCAAACAACCAAAAACCCCCAGGTTCACTCTAGTGCTAATATGTGTGACTCTCTTTCCAATTTAGGTTCCAAAAGAACCTAACGCGAGTTCCATCACTTTTACAGGACCCTCTACGTTGGGTGATCACATATGTCCCTGTTCACCCCGGATAGTCCTGGTTTATGCCTGTTGTCCTGGACAGTCCCAGTTTGGACAATAAATTGGAAGGTTACCCCCATCCTGGGGCCCTCCCTTGAGAATGGAGACCCCACAGAATAATAAGTATCCTGCTTAGGTGATGATGTTTCTTTCCGCCTCATGTAGAAATTATCAGAGTAACTGTCTTATGTTTCCTCCTGAGCTGAGTTCGTTGTGGGTGGAATTTGGGTCCTACCTACCTGTACCCCCTCGCCTCTCCCTCTTTATCCAGTGGGAGCACTGGTATAGGGGTAGAATTCAGTCAAGAGGTAACCTTGCCTAGGTAGTCAAAAGTACCAGCAATTCCTAAAACATTCTTTTCCAAATAGGCTTAGAAGGGAGTCTCTGCCTTTTCCCCTCCTGCAAAACTGGACTTCCTGTTTAAAAGTTCCAAAAGCCAGAAGATGGTCATACCTCTTCCTAATACTAATAGATTTCACTTACTGACCTTCTTCTACTCTGTGTCTGGCATGATCATGTCACACAATTTATTTAATTCTCATTAACTCCTTATATAGTAGGTATTATTATTCCCATTTCATAGATGAGGAAACTGCTGCACAGAGGTCGCACAACTAATAAGTGGCTGAGTGAGGATTAGAACCCAGGTCTAATCTGAGTCCTCACTCTTTCTTTCCATCGTATCATGCTGTCATCCTCATTTTGCAAATGAGGGAATCAGAGCCAAAGCCTGGAGGATCTGGTCCCTGCCTTGGCTCCCACTCCCTCTTCTTTCCCTGCTCAGGTGAAAGGGCAAACATACTTCCTGCGGAACTTACCCTAATGGCCTAAGGGTTGTAACTAGACCTGGATAAGCCAGCTTAGGTGGAAGCATTTCAAATGTTTGGCCAAAATAAAGTTGGTGGAGTGCGTACCTGGAGAAAGGACCATACTTTCTTGCAGTCTACGGAATCAATAGTCCATCAGCTCTTCTGTACCAGACAGGGGGTCTCCAGACTAATGACTGCCCCTCTCCAGACTGGAGTGTTATCTGACCTTTTCTGGAGCAGGGAGAACAGGGAGAAGGCCTCTGAGTAGCCAACAAACAGGTCCCATGTGCAACGGCCTCTGCATTTTCCTCATAAGAGAGTCCTTTAGGATCTAACTCAGAGACTACTAACTCTTAGTTTCACAGTCTTATCCAATCACAGTAGGTGATCTTGTTTCCAGCCCATCGCAGATTAGGAGAAGGAAAGGAGGAGGCTGGGGAGGAGGCTTCAGAATCAAGCAGACTGATTACAATCAAGAGCTGGCCAGGCAGGGAGGGAAAAGAATAGTATAATAAAAAGCTAAAGGGGAATTCACAGAATACAGCACCGCAAAAGCACCTGAGGGCATCACTGAATTGCCACATAGGACATTAACTGCTGGATATAATGATGAACTTGAGGAAAAGTGATAGTTGGCTCAAGAAAGCAGGAAGGGTGTAATTCATTTTACAAAGAAAACACATTGTTCATTCAACAAACAACATTTAATGAGCGCCAATGCATGGTGGCAGCTGTTGGAGATATACTAATAAGACGGCTCTTGACTTTAAGAAGTTAACAGTCTAATGCAAGAATCCGATCACTGAACAAATTATAATAATACTGTTTCACAGGTACAACGATAGAGCTATACACAGGGTGCTTACTATCAAAAGCAGATGAACTCAAGGAACACCACTGGGGTTATTTCGTTCAGGGAAGAACATCAGCAGAGTGCCAGCTAATACAGAACGTCCCTGAGGAGGTCCCTGCTCACCTGAGGTCTTCTCTCTCCTGATCCCCACTCCTAATGCTCTTTCTTGCCTTGTGAGGTTTTGCAAATACTATTGCACTGCCTGGAACATTTCCCTCTCTCCCATGCCTTCAGAGGGCTAACTCCAATTCATTTAGTAGGCCTCTGATCAGAAGTCACTTACTCCAATGATTCTTCCTAAGTTTGAGGTAATTACTGCTCCTATGAGCTCCCCAGCACCTTAGGCATCTCCTAATTACAGTACTTATTACAGTCTATTGCAATCGCCTATTTACTTGACTATATTCGCCACTAACCAAAAGCTCAAGGAGGACAGGAAGTGTGATTGCCTTCTCCACAGCTGTATCCTCAGTATGGTGCCTGGCCATAAATATGTGCTTCACAAATACTTGCTGAGTCAGCAAATAAACACATAATACATAAAGAAGGTCCTAATATTACCTTGTTTTTGGAGGAATAATAATAATAATAATAATGCCAGTCAACAAGTATTTAGTGGAGGCAGTAGAGTGTGGCTGTTAAATAAGTGAGCTCTAGAGCCAGATCACTTGTGTTTGGATCCCAGTCCCGCATTTACTGACTATGTAACCTTGGGTAACTTACCTAACCTCTCTGTGCCAAGTTTCTTTATGTATAAATGGAGATAACAGTACCCTCTTATGGGATGCTGTAAGGATTAAATGGGACACTACGAGTGAAGGGGCTTGGAACAGTGCCTGGCATACAGCATCTCTCACTACACATCAGCTACCATCTTTACTGGATAGTCTTGTGCTTCCAAAACTGTATTTTCTCTGCGAAAAGAGGTTCTACTTGGGGAATCCTGCATACACTTTTCCCCTCCGAAAGGCACAGTTCTGAGTAAGAACCATCTGTTTAATTGGGTGTTACTCAGCAGTTTCTTGTTTGACAGCCTCTTTCCACCTAACCCTTGTTAAAATCCCACAGCTACTGGTGTTCCACAGAACACTCTTTGGAACTGAGCAGTGCATTACAATCGTAAAGCATTTTCATTTACTTAGGTATTTCAGAACAACCCTGTGAGGTGTAAGCTGACGCTCCACATTTTGTAGATGAGGAAATCGCAGCTCAGAGGGTGCCACAGTTGGTCAGTGGTGGAGTCAGGCCCCAGTCCAGCTCAGTTAGGCCCATTTCGTGCTCTTAGCAAGAAGCTCTCTTTTCCACATCACCCAGTTTTAGAACCCCTGTCCCAGAAGATCTTGCTGAAGCCCCCAGATCATTAGATCTCATACTCTTGTTTCCAAAAGAAGTGGCTAACGGTGGAAAGGAGGGGTGGGCAGAGGTACAGCGCAGCTCGCATCCTCACACACTGACCCGCTCTCACTGAGGGAAGGTAAGCAAATTCGAGGAAGAGAAAGTGACTCATCCAAGACTGGCCACCAGCTGGCCACCAGGGTGGTCTTTTGAGGCCCTGTGTTTACAGCTGGTTCTCAGCCAGTGAACCGTCCCCTTCCCAACAAAGACATCTACCAGCCTGTCTCCGGTGCAGGGCGAGACAGGCTCAGCCTCCTGCTTCCTCTCCAAACCAGCCATTCCTGTCTCTTTACCTCTCGGACCACGGGAGAGTGAGAGAGTACCACTTTGTTCTCCTGCTCCCACCTCTGCCTTTTGATATTGCTGAGTCTACGCCTGGGTACCGTGGCAGGTATGGGCCTGATGTATTCTCTGCAGGACTCCCTGGACTCAGCCGTGCCATAGTCAGCAGAGGCGATAGTCCCTGAAGCCCTTCACGTGGCCCTGGCCACTCCCTAGCTCTGCTGAAACTGCAAAAAAATACTGCCTCCCACGCTGAGAAACAGTGACTTAAGGTAAGGGAGTCATACTGTCCTGAATCTTAGCTACGCTACCTACTAAGTTCTTCTATCTGTAAAATAGGTCCAATAAACAATTTGAGGAATATGAAATATTTAAATATTATGAGAATCATATCTGATGATAGTTTTTTTTCAAACATTTACTAATGCTGCTTTCCTCCTTGGGTTAGGCACTAGGGACACAGAAATAAATAAGACACGGCTCCTGTCCTCATATTACTAAGTCTCTTGGGGGAGACTTTGAAAAAAGGTAAATGAGGCAAGATGGGTGGTCTCCAGATAACAAAAGCTTTATTACCACTGTGTTGTGCAGGGAAAGGCACCCTAGCTATGAGTGCCTCTCCCTCAGGCCCAGCCCCTACCCACCATCCCGGGAGCTTGTGCCATCTAACGTCATGGAGTG